TTTTAACAAGATCTACAATTACGAGGAGGCTGGTAGTTTAAACTTTGCAGGATCTGTTGATATCACCACCTTTGAATCTCTGACTCCATTTTCAGTTAAATACACCCAGTAAAGTTCTGCTAGCACCCTTCAACGTATTTTCTATGTCATTTACTGAAGAATTGCCAGCAGAAGAGCTAGTTTCACTTTTTTTTATTATTATTATTTTATTAAAACAATACCCTAAATCACTTTCTCTGTGTAACTGACACTTTTCAGAAGCTAGAGTGCCAGGAGGAGAAACTTTGGAGTCAAATGGGCTTTTGTTATGACAGTTTGCTTTGGAAGGAAGATTATTGATTTCTTCAAAGAAAATATTGCCCCAGGAGTCTAAATTAGATGGGTGGTTAGACCTGCATTTCACAGTTCCTTCCTTAGCCCATCCCTAACATGCTTAAAATTCTCTGCAGTAATTGTTTGTGCTAACAAAATACTCTAAAGAGCTCCTTTCTCAGGGTAGTTTGAGACAATGTGAAGGAGCCCAGGCGTGCAGAAACTAGACTGTTTGTGGGGACCTATATCTCTGAGCTTAGAGATGCATTGTGCTCTGCAGCTCGTGTCCTCCTGGAGTCTCAAGAGATGATGGACTCAACAAATCCATCTGACACAGTATCTTCACCAGCCTTCTCTTAAATGTTTGTTCACTGTTATTGAATCATTTCTTCCCCCTCCCCCAAAGCATTGTGGCATTACTGAGGACAGATTTACCAGCTACCCTGGATTGAAATTTCACTCCCACTTTTTAATTTCTTATATAAAAGCCTTTAGAATTAGAATTTGTTTGCAACTACGCAGAAAAAAGTTGGCAAGAGGTTTGACTCAGATAATGAAAAGGCTATGTACCCTTCCTCGTTCCTGTTCATAGTCACTCTCCCACCATTTCTTCCAGTTGCTTATCTGCATACACTGAGCAAATTCAGGTGGCCAGACCGAAAGGCTGCTTTGCAGGGCTTTTTTTTTTTACTTTGTGACAATTACCTATTCTTCTGTAAAAATGCTGAAAAAATATTATGAAAATATTGGAGTACAGAAAGGGATTTAACCTGCAAGAAGGAATTTCACAATTTCCCCAATGTAACCTCCAATGAAGATATAGATACAATCTCTCTCTGTTTCCTAGTATTATAAACAAGTATAGAAACATGTACTAGATATGCCCCAAGTAGAACACATGCATTTTCTTCTTTTTTTTTTCATTAGCATGGCCTGAGAAATAACATCACAAAATTGTATATGATGTTCAGTGTTAAAAAAATTCTTCTCTTAGCCATTTTTAGCTTCTGAGCTCCTTATTCCTTCCCTTCTTTTACTTGTTTCTTTTCTGATCTTCCAGCTGTTTCTACCTCTTTCTGTAGGGACTTTCCTGCTGAAATACTGTTTGTGTCTTTTATGCATGTATTCATTCAAAGTCTATTTCCAAGATGTTATGACAAGACATAAAAAGAAGAAGACCACATGGTCAAGTGAGCTTAGAAAGAATGTGAGAGTCTGGTCAGCATACAAGTATCTCTCATCTCAAACCAGACCTATATTGTGTGAGCATGTTGTTTTAAAATGGTACATCCTTTACCTACAGCAGTAAATGTCTGTACCGCCTGCAGCTATAAGGGTGTACATGTGTGCATTACGAGGTTATTCTTTTTCAATAGTATTGCTTATTTCATCTGGAGCACTGAGATACCAGGACGTGGACTCCTGAAGACCACTAGGAGTTCACAGCTGTACCTCATATACCTTCTTCATGTAGATGATTTTCTGACTTAGATTTACAAATGTAAGTAATTTATTTGCCCTATCCCACAAGGATTCTCCTCTGTAGTGATAAGACAGCCTGCCAAAAGAGGAAATAAAGATCATTAGACAAAGCAGAACATTGTGAACCTTAAGAATGTTTCACATGAAGTGGAGGAATGAAGAGTTGGAATATTTCAGATGAAGAGGGTCAAATCAAATAAATTAGAACATGTTAAACAGTAGACCAAGATGCATCAGAAGTTTTGTGGAAGGCACAATTTTTTTCATTTTCTATAATGCATGAAAGCCAATTGTGTGAAGACTCTTTTCTATAGTTTCATTTGTAGCAATATTTAGAGTTAAACAATAACTAGACCAAACTAAAATTAAAAGAGCAATTTCCTTCTCCGAAAGCCCCAAACATGAGGCACTTCCTTCTCATGTATTTGGGATACTTATGAAATTTAACATATAATAGTTTATGTTGCAGAATACCTTGAACATAACATGAACATCAAGCCCCAGAAAATGTGCAAAAATCTCCTAATACAAAATGCTTCCCCCAGTCATATAACATCATGAACTGAAACTTGTTCATTACAAAACCCCTGAACTTCCACAGAAATGAAACAAAACAAATATAAAAAAAAAAAACAACAACAAAACCAACAAAAACCCAAATAAACACAAAGCCACTAATGCTATTCTAATTCAAGAGAAATCAAAGCATTCTCATATACCTTTATCCCCAGGTATAAGCTGCAATTCTTAGAACATTTTCTGCTGACCCAATTGTCTATCATCCATCAGTAAAATAACTCCCAATCCCTGTAGTCATGGAGAAATGAGCTTGCATGTGTAAGAACAGCTCCTTCCCTGCTGAAAAACCCACAGCAAAACCAGCACTTTCACACCACTACAACTGACCTGCTTCAGGTAGTAAAGAAACCCAAGGACAGATGTTCTGTTTTCTTTCTTGCTTCTTTTTGGTCTGCTTTTTGAAAATGTAAACTTTCTTTGATCCAGAACAGGACTTTTGCAATTCAAAATCTCATAGATTTCTGACCTACTTCCCAAAACCCTTGACACACCAAGGCAAACAGAAGGCTGAAAAGCTATTTTTTTCCTTTCTCGCTTACATGAACACCTTCATTAAATGATTTATTTTAATGATTCTTTCAAATTATTCATTTAATGATTTCTTCATTAAAAAGGTGTTGAACAGTGGGTGTACATTCTTGCTTTTCTGTGTGTTATTTGTAACTGGTAGGGAAAGCATAGACATTCGTAGGCTCTCAGGGGAATACAGCAGTTATCCATTGCTTCTTCAGAAACTATGCCCAGAGAAGTACAGGATCAAAAATACAAAGGTGAAGAGAGAGACAAATAAAGCTTGAGAGCTCTGGGGAAGAAAAGTGACAGAGCTGATGATAGGTATGATCTACTAATGGATGACATGCTCTGTGCAGCTGTTTTAAGAATTTAAAAAGAATTTAAAAACAGTATCAGCACCATGACAGTAAGCGCTTTATCAAGAGTTTATATCAAGGACTTCACAGTAAAATGGCTCATATTAATCTCAACCAATCTCAATCCATGCCATTGCAATTAAAATATAGTACAATCTAAGTGCCTCTTCTTGGGTTCAGTGGCATTAGACACAAACAGATATGGTTGTGCACCACTAATACACAACACTGTACAACTGGGCCACATGTACCGAACAGCAAAGCCTAGATAGCACAAGGTCTTAATAACTATACTTACTTAGAAGAGTATCTCAAAAAGAAGGTTCAAACGAGCAGCCTGTTTATTACTTTGTTCAGCACAATTTTATATGTACTCAGTTGTCAGTTGTTTCCTGTATATGGTTTCCCCAGCTTTGTAATTGCTATAACTCATCAATAAAAGTAAAGTAAAACATAATCATCTGTTATGTAATCTAGGTGATGCAGCACGTGAGCACGTGTCTGAAGACAAACTATTTGCATAGTGTAGTCAAACAGGTTCAGATAAAGGTATTTAGTTATATATCTAGGGTTAATCAAGTAAAAGCCAATATGCAAATACTGATGGAAAATTATGTACAATATCACCCTAACTTGTAACACGCTACTCTTTAAAATGCTTTTTTTTTGGGTTTGGAGACAGCATTTTCCATTCAGGTCTTATTATGCTTCTCTTATGTGCTAGATAGGATATACCTAAGTATACCTTTTTACATCTTTCATTCTCTGTGGCATGAAAAATCTATGGAATGTGATTCTGGTATACCAAATTAGTATTAACAGTACAAGTTCAGAAAAGTCCTCAGCAGGATTTTCAGCTGACCTTCTGAGATGAGGCTGATTATAGAAAAGATTTATTTTAAATGAAAATGGCATTTACCGTATCAGCCAAACTGGAGATGTGTTTTTAGATATCCAAAGTCAAAAGGTCTGGAAGTAATAGCATCAATCAAGTAAAACACATTCTAATTAAACAGCGACTTTTCTCATTCAGCAAACTGCATTATTGATACAAGATCTCTTTTGGAAAAGTCACAAAGTTCAGAACACAAGAGTTGGACCATTCATATAAATTAATTTAAACTACACTGAAGTTAGGTTAAGTCCTGGCTTTTCACTTATTCCAATTTCTTGAAGAAAATTCTGGGTGCTCTAAAGTTTTGGGGTTTTTTTCATGTACATCAGATGGTCTGATAATACTTACTATCTTTCTCTATAAAGGATGCTCTTTCACTGATCCAGCAATGCACTTCAAAACAGAGAATGTTAAGCTCATATGTGCAGTTTGCACTGGTTATTTTTGATGTTACCAACTGATATAGCTAACGACTATAATCAGAAGAAACGCATATCATAGAGTGCAATAGATATTGTGTAAGCAGTAAGGCCCTATTTCTGTTTCACTTTTGCAAAAAGTTTTTCCTGGGAGCAAGAGGAATGCAAGGTCTGAAGGAACTGAAAGGGCTTTCAAGGAGTCAGATGCAGAAGACAGAGTCGTGGGCGGTGAAAATGAACTGGGTAACCCCTCGAGGCTGGTGAAAATCACACTGCTAAGCACCGTGTAGGGCAGTATTATGAAATCAGGACAGAGTACAGTAAACCCCCTGAAAACGGGTCCGCGGACCTATGATAAGCTTTCTTCATTTACGCTGGGTGGGAGAAGGGCAAGGGGGAAGGAAAAGGGAGAGGACATGTATTAATATGTAACTCCAGACTTACCGATTTTGGCCAAGCTGGCCACGAGTATCCAGAGTGCAATGATATAGGGCTCCTTGACGTGATCCCATTTGAAAGAGACGATGGCAAAGCTTTGGTTGCTATTCTTATGGCTTTCCGAGCTTCTCTGTCCCAGCGCCGCTGGGAGAGCCATCAGCCCCAGGAGGAGCGCCACTCCAGATACCTGCCTCATCTTCAAGCCACACTACGAAATCCTGCTTCCCCTTCCCGGAGAGATCCCGCCTCTTCGGAGGTCCTTGGGGGCGAGGTCCTTGTCCTTTGGCAGAGACAAGCCCGACGGCTCAGGACGGCGGGACAGCGGCGCGCGCGGCCGGCGGCGGCAGGGTCCCCTGTGTCCCCTCCTGTCCCGCCCAGCGCCGGCCGCGCCAGGCGTCGCCTCGCGCGGGGCGGCGAAGGACGGCTCAGGGGCTCCGTGCACAAGCAGATGCTTCGAGCTGGGGTCCCGCTGCTCGCCCGCACCTGCCTTTATCAGGCCGTTCCCGATCGGGCGGAGGCGGAGCCTCCCGCCGCTCCCGCAGAGGCTGCCGTGCGGGGCCGGCGATGCCCCGGCTGACGGAGCGCCCGGGGGTCGGCGGGCAGCTCCGCTCAGCTCCGCTCGGCCGCGGGGCCGGCCGCGGGCTCTGGGCTGTGTCCGTGCGGCCCTGGGCAGCTGGGCAGCGAACAGCAGCGGCCCGGAGCTGCTGGCGCTCGGAGCCGGGACCGGGACGCTCTCGCGGGCATGTCCTAGGGGAGCCCGGGGTCCGCGTCCACACCGGAGCCGGGTGCGCGGGACATCCGCAGGTCTCAGTTCGGGCGCTTTGGATGCTTTTGTATCAGCTTCCTCCTCCCAGCCCCACTCTCCCGACAGGTTGTCACAGAGAAAACGCACTCTTTTCTGCTTCTCAGCCTCGAGTACCCTTCTGAGGTCGATCTAGCTCACCGAAGGCGCAGCAGCACGTTTCTCAGACCAGCTTTTCCTTCTGTCCACCAGAGAGCACCTCTTCCCACGATGCTCCGGGAAAGGACACCAGCAGGCAACATTAGGCTTTCCACTTAGGTCTGCTTGCAGCTGTTTGTTCAGATGTGGTGTATTAAAAACGCAATGTGTTTTTGTTTGTTTTTAATGCTTACACCTCGACACCTTTTAGGAGGTTCTACTCTCCTCCTAAAGCCTGTTTTCCTGCTGATAACATTTGCCTGCTATCCTGGATGGTCCATGTTATCATGGGTCCATGGTGCTGCAGGGAAACGGACACATGATAATCATCACCTTGCCACTAAAAGGACAACAAAGCATCCTGCTCCCGACAGGCAGAGCTGAGGTCGCCTTTCCACACACCTCAGCAACAGCAGCAGCAACTCCTCTCCACTCTTGTGTACTCCAAAACAATCAGTGTGCAGTCCGCTCCTTCTGTGACTTTCTGTGGAAAAACACTTCCTGTTTATTTTTCTAACATAACAGCTGGTTTTATTAGAGGTAAAAAATGAACAGGACTCCTTTAATTCCTTTAAAATTATTGGAAGACAGAGAAATAATTTTTATTATTTCAATCTCTAAGGAGAAAACTTACACACTTTTTCATAGTCATCTGTCCTGCACAGACACTCCATAAATAAATTAGCTAGTTAATTAGATCTATAAGTTTCCATGGAATGTTATTATCATTATTACCTCAAAGCAAGCGCAGCCCCCAAATTGGACCAGCTGTGTTCAAACAATGAACCATCTTGGGGACTTTTTTCCTTCTTCATTTTTTAAGTGAAAGGAAGTTACGTGGGAAGTTCTTTAAATGGAAGTAAATCTGAAGACAAAATTGGCAAGTCTTTTTAGGATGCATGACACATAGCAAAATATCTCCTTCACATTCAGTAAATGTTGTAGACAAAGACCTGGAGAGTTCTCAGTGTCTAACAAAAAATTCTATCTACAATTTTTTTTATCTTTTTCAGAGCATGACTTGGGCACCCAAATGTTGTTTAGAATTTGCTCCTAAGTTCTGTGACTGTTCTACAAGTAGCTGTAGCCAATGCCTAAGCAACATTTTTTTGGATTGCCAGTCAAGAGAGAAAACTGTAGCTGGAAGTAGGTAGCTGCTGATCATTTATGTAACCTGTTGCTGAGCTCCATGGAGAGTATTAGTTCCTAGTCATTAACATGAATTCTGTTTGCTACTATTAGGAGAACCACAAACTTCAGTCGACAAGCTGTTGGCAGTGTTTTTACTGACACAATTTGTTCCAAGTATCCTCATACCACAATTAAATATTTCAGCTGCAGCTAATAAAAGGGCACCACAACTGCCAGTATTCCATCTTACATTCATGATTCTTCCCAAATCTAGTTCCAAAAAATGCTGACTGGTTAGAAAAAAATCTTTCCATTGAAAGTGCTGAAGCTAGCCATGTTGTCCAGATGGTTATTATTAAATGTGTCATAGATCAAGAATACCTGCAGCAGAGCTAGAAAAATGAGAAAACCTTCTCCAGTGGATCTTTTCTAGAGATAAGCAAAGGCTTGGAGGAGCAGCAGTTGAGATCATGCCTCTGATTGCCCACAGGCAATGTTCTACCCATGACAACAGTAACCAAAGTTACATGCCAATTCTGAGTTTGCTGGTGGAGGAAACCAGTATTAGGGAAAAAAAGTTGTCAGCACCATCTTCTAAAAACAAGGTTTAGAACACTGTTAAAATGCCAACACGGTATTTCTTTTAAGAACAACAAATTAATAGTTCAAAGTGCACTTGTGACTGCTTATAAAATATTTTTAAGTTGGCAGGGTGTCAAATGACTGTAGGTATCAGGGAATTGTTGTGTGTTCAGGACACAGAGAGGACATAGGACGGGACTGACAATCATGAATTTCCAATAGGTACACCAATACACGTACAATAAACCAAGAGTCCACTGAATACATGAGCTCATGTACAAAATATGTACCTGTACAATAATACATTTGCATATATGTATTTATTATCAGAGTCCATTTTCTTGTATGGTCTTTATAGAAGCCCTTACATAGTTTCCAATAACCTGACTCTGTATCAGTAACAAAAAAATTGGCTGAGTATTTATTATGCTGGCAATAAAGATATCATATCACACAACAGCTGATATTTCCTGACTTCCAGAAAGATTGCACAAGGAAAATTTCTACTTACTGAAGAAATAATGGTGCTTTCTGAGCCTTCTATTTTTTTTTTTTTTTTTTTTTTGGCAATTGATTGAAATCCAGCACTGTCATTTCTGAAAATACTGTGTATGTAATGGCTTAAAGAAAAGAGTTATGAATATCTAAGTATTATACAAGTATCTTATATACCCTTCACATGACCTGTGTCCTGTAAAGATTATTTCTTGGCAATTTTTTCAAAGCTGAGGTAAAAGACAATTTCAGTGAAAAAAATCCCTAAAATTGTATCTGTTTTCTCCAGAAAGCACAGACAGTATTTCAGTTATGCTAATTTAGATGTAGAAGCTACAATTAACTTTTAATATTAGCATTTGTCAAAAATCTGTTTAAGTGATCTGAAATTAAGAAGCACATCCTTGTCAAACTGAGAAATCTTATGAAAGGAAAAATAAATTAATAAATAAATAGCAAATATTTGGCAAGTCAAGCGTTAAAAATCTCCTGGTGCAATATAAATCATCATAAATCACTTATTATCACCCCTGTCTTTCCTCAAGAAAATGTACTTTTTTATATTAATGTCTATTAAATGTATAAACAGGTCAAGATTTGAGTGGAATATAGTTCCGGTATATATTTTTATGCCATCATGCCAACTGTATACAAAGTTAAATAGAACAGTAGTTATTGTGAATGGCATTGTACCAATAAAACTGCACAATCTGGTGAAAATTAATTCAGATTAATGCAGAACCACACAAATTTGTAGTGAATTTACTTGATTCAACAGCTAACATTTTGCCAAACACTCTCCAAGTGAAATGAGTGCTGTTGTGCAAGTTTATGCTGCAAGGAGTTGGACAAAAACTGCTGGACTAAGTGATGTTGTAGAGCACTGTGTTACATTATAAAATGAATCTCTGAAATTACATTAGAAAGTATATTAATTCAGCCCACACACATTACTACCAGTTAAGGTGAACAAGATGAAGACTAGGGTAAGAATGAATTAATCAGATCGATAGTTGGAAATAGATTTGGATGGGAAGTAGGGTGGAAGAGGAAATTAGCTAAATTCTTCATGACTCATTTCACGACAAGACTCACTTTAAGGATAGCAAGTGAAAGGGATTTTTCCCAGAACCTTCATTTTTAGCCTCAAATATTTTTGAAATTGTAAGATATTTTAGGCAGATTGTGAGGGTTTTTTGGTGTGTTGTTGTTGCTATTACTGCTTTTAATTAATCCCCCCATTTATATTAGATTAGAAGTTAATCTAACAGGAGTGGGAAATACGAATGACAAACTGACACAGCCTATGACTTTCACTAAGGAGAGTCTCCCCCCACAAGGGATTATTATTATCCCCTCCCATAAGGGATTGTGTGAGCTCACAGTGCCATGAACAGCGAAAAGGGAATGGGACAGAAAAAGAAGTTCTTACATATCACCAGATACCTGATACCCTTTATCTTCTATGTTCAGGGAGAAAAAACCCATGTATTTTTACAAAATTCCATGTGTATTAAAAGTACTCTTTATTTCAGTTCCAATTTCAAGGAATATTATCTTTTTCTGATGTTTATTCAGACTCTTCTGGGCTTGCTACTAGCCAAAGATGGCCACAGAGATTTCCATCTGTGACAGTCTGCATCTTCCACACTTTCCATCTTGTACTCACCTCATTCCAATTTTATTGGCATCCCACTTGTATTTATCTGTTCTTTGCTCTCCATGTCTCTGCTGTCTTTCCTTTTCATGCATACGTTCTGTCAATAATCACCAAAAATCCCTAATAGTGAGACCTAAGGAACACTCAAAATGCAATTGTGTATGATGTATCAACCCAGTACTTAAGATACTATTCTCTATCTCTTCCAATTCACCTTTGTCATTTTTCTCCACAAATACCCCTTCCAGGTACTCACATCAGCGTGACAAACACAAATGTTTATACTAGACAAAAAATACAAGCCATAATGAGATTATATTAGCTGATCTTTAAAAAAAAACTGGGAGAAGACTAGGACAGAAATGATAACCACAGATTTCAGAGGTATAGTGGGGAGAAAAGGAAAATAAAGGTGCATCTCAACATTGTTTCAGGGTACAAGTATTCAGCTTCCTGTAGCTTAACCTGAGAGGAAAAGCAAAACAGATTAATTTATTACGAAACCCAGAAAGACTCTTAAATAACAAAGGCAGCTAAGTAGATATTTTCAATTGCTAGCATGATAATTTTATTTCTTATGTTTATAAGTAGGCTCTGATGTTTCTTGGTCTTAATTTTTGGCTGATCTATGGA